AGCCAGCAACTGGTCCCAAATTACTTTCTGTATCCTTACAAATGTCCTGATTTCCATCTCCGAAAGATTTTGCCCCAATTTTGAGCAAATAAACATTTCTCCGCGGCGACCGCCATTACGGTGGCTTGCATACTAAATTAGCTAACTTAACAAAATTCTCCCGAGGGAGGGATATGACAAATTTGGTGAGAATCAAAAGTAACGCCAATTTTCTGTCACGTTTTCAATCTGTGGTCACTGGAGTGCTAAGCGAACCGTTAAATTTTTAAAGCGCGGTTATAAGATCTAACAGATCTTCTTGTTGTATGTAGCTTATCAAGATAATTCATAATTTGTACTGAGCCATGTCCACCAGCATGTTGTGCATCCTTGCTACAGTTTTTAAAGAATTTTTTATCCACTAAAACTTCTTAAGGTTCGATCAATAATATTGTGTTCTTTCCCACTGAAGATTGTTAAACCTTTTTTGTTGCTACCTTAGTGACATCCATACACTTTCTAGCAATATTTTGCCCCTTGAGAAGCTACTCTGTAAAGCCCTCATAAATTCGAGAATACTCAAGTTCCCTTAAAATAACCGAATAGATAAAAAATTTTTAGTGCAACCTAAAATTAACCTACAGAGCTTTAAGGTGATTCCTTAGTATTGCATTGTGCATCCCTACTGTGCACGATTTTTGTGTCATTAGCGTGTGCGCATGAGTGCATGCGCGTACAAAACGCAAGAGATTTCCCTCAAACTAAGCTCTACAGTGAAATAAGTGCTCCTTTTCTCTTAAACGAGCATGGTGACCCTGACTTTTTATTTCATAATTTTAATGGGAACAATATCCTCAATAATTGAGAAAAAAATTAGCAGAAATCTATGGCTACTTTTTTTGGCAAATGAAATAAATACTACAAAGGGAGACAAAACGGACCCAACAGTGCATGTCCAAAATGACATTTTTAACAATCCCAAAACAACAGACATTCAATTTCTCATATCGCGAAAGTTTGAGGTGACAATCCTCCTAAGAAAATCAGAGGGGATTAAAGGCCTTCCAAACAGATAATATACCGAAACAATCCGTTGGGTGCCCCTGACAGGTGGCACAAAACTCCTCTACACTGCAGTTTCATTTACATGTTCATGCCTGACAACACTCGAAAAAACTGAATTCCAGCTTGCCCTTGGGACAAGTAGCTGTAAAGTTTTGCTTGCTCTGGGCAAGTCTTAGTTTGCTCTTGTAATGATTCAGTTGGCAGATGACTTGCCTGATCCCTTGCCCATCAAGCAGGTGAGAGTGAAAAGTTACTTGCCTGGAAGGAGAATCTACTTTTCCCGGATGACCAGCTGCCACTTTTTTGAGCCCTACCTGGGTGACAAAATTCAGTTTAACTCACTTCGAGTTAATTTATTTTGTTTCTTATAGGCAACTGAAGGGCTTGTTTACAATGCGGAGCATTGGTTTCTTAGTCTGGATTTCGTGCCTAACAACGTTTATTTGTGGTAATTATATTTAATATTTATTGAAAAGACAGACAGAGCTAGAACAATGCAAAATGCATCACATGGACAAGATCTGCTTTGAGCTTGATACTTAATTTGCAACAAACTGTAGCCAAAACTTGTTTGTCATCACGTGAACACTTTTTTGAATCCGTAACTGAAACCAATGGTGTGTGCAATGGCCTGAAAAAGAGCCATTTCAACAGAGGTTTGGGATCAATAATATATTCACCTCCACATTACATGAATTGGGTGTCTGCATTTAAGAAGTTAAATTGTATTTTTAGTCTTATTGTTATTTACATGTTTCTTTGCAATTATTTAAGAAGGGAAATTGCACAACTGCACTGATTGCAATCTTCACAATTACTTTGTATACATTTACATTTTCAGGGCAAGTCCAAAAACCCCCTCCAGGGATCACCAATTTTTTGGAGGGTAATTTACTTAACAGAGATCAGGTGAAGGGAGGCAAGGAATATAATGAACTCAACAATGATGGCTTCAAACTCCCTTGTGAGGCCACAGGCGAAAATCTGCAATGGAGATGGCAACACAATGGAACCAACCTTGTCATATTTTCTGGAGGCAGATTTAAAGTCGAGGGCGATGGTTCTCTAATTGGAGAGAGCCTTCTTCCAGATCAAAGTGGAAATTACCAGTGCTTTGTGAAAGATGCAGTCACTGACAAAGAAACATTTAGTAGAAAGGTTCAAGTTTTAGTAACATGTAAGAGCTTGCATTTTACTCTCTTTTTTTAAAATTAACCTAAACCTTTTTTAGCAGAATTCTTCTAGTATGCTACTACAATTATTATCAGTTGATCAGGCACAATGGGAGTTTGGTGACAAAGTTTTGACCTTAAAATTACCATGTTGTCAGATTCCCATGAGTTCTTTATATACTAACAATGCGTGTGAAAGTCTCCTTGCATGTGATTAAAAGCTCTACAATGTGGAATGTAGAGAGTGTTAATTAGTATATGTACTAAATACATAGTTTTGCTTTAATTTGAGTCAGATGGAGTGTTCAGTTTAGGTTTCTTTTCTTGGATAAAGTGCGTTTCATAAATTAAGTATTCAGATTTCCCAGGACATTTCTTAAGGATGGTGAATTGCTCACAAAGATCTTTGTTCATCTGATTGTGGGCATCACACAGGTGTTTTCCAATAACTGAGTGCTTGTGTTCAAAAACATCCCCAAAAATTAAGCATTTGCTTATCATTTGTAGAGCATGGTGTAATGGCTCATATACCGTGATGGCTAAGCCAATGAAAACTCTTGAATTGCATCATCCAGTGATCCAGTTTTTAATAATACATGTTATCTTTCTTTTTGGAGGCAGTGAATTTACACGACAGTCCTGAACTAATTCTTCTCTTGTTCCCAGATATTAGACCTTTTCTGAGTACAGCAGCTCGGACGGAGACCGTTGATCTTGGCCAGTCTCTCCGGATTCCATGTCCTGCACATGGGGCTAGCTATGGAGCTGTCTACACCTGGTCTGGTGCAGAAAATATTGAATTCCCAAGAAATTCTCGTCGAGCCATCTCGCCTGATGGTGAACTGTTTATCATGTTTGTTACTGATGAAGATATTACTAAGACTGAGCAATTAAAAGGCATTAGCTGTACAATAACTGGTGCAAATGCCATTTACAGATCAGGCCCAATAACCCTAAAGAAGCGTCAACAAGGTAACGACTTGCTCTATTACAGTTTCTATTGTCTTACAGTTGGGTGCTGTGGGATATGCAATGAGCTGGACTCTGGAACAAGTGCCCAGGTTTGAGCTTTGGCAGAGGTCTTTGTGTTTCATTAATGTTCTTGGGAAATACTCGAGGTAGTCAGAAACTTATGCAAACCTTTTCATTTCTAAAGGCAATGCAGCTCAGACTATATTGGATGATTTTATGTGCTTAACCTAAAAACCATTTGGTACCTTTTACCAAGTGCCCTGATCACATTTTTCTCAGGTGTTGAATTTTGCCAGCAGCTGGCACTTAGCGACAAACTTGCCCCTGTGGTGGACTGATACTAATTCTGCTTACGTTTCCATATTAGACTTTAAGGATCCTGAAAATTAAAGAGTTGGATTATTTCTGTTGCGACATCATTTAAAAGCATTAATATTATTGTAATAAACATGTGGAGGTGTGATGGCCTGGTTGTTACTGCTCTCGACTCTAGATTGAGCAGTCCAGGTTCAAGCTTGACCAGGAGCATTGTGTTGTGTTCTTGGACAAGACACTTTACTCTCACAGTGCCTCTCTCCACCCAGGTGTATAAATGGGTACTGGCAAGTTTAAAGTTGGGGTAACCCTTTGATTGACTAGCATCTCANAAGTAGAAATACTCCTGGTTGCCTCAGGCTACTGAAATTGGAGATAAGGGCCAGCCAGCCTGATGGGCCACTTGGCCTGTATGTAGACTTTTCATATAAAATGGCTGTTGCCTGGGTGTTTGTAATTCTAGAGTAATAATGTGACACCATCCCAATCTACAACCACCCAGTTGATAGTCTTGACTGTTTTGGTGGTGCAATGTTGGTTGTACAAATGACATGTAAAAGGGGTTCAACTAGTGTACATGTATGTGTTAAAATGTTGTTGTATGGTGTAATAAATTTCATATCATTTTATTAAGACATGATTGATCCTGGGACCCCACAATCCCCTGCTTGGAGAGTAACTCCAGGAAGTGCTGAAACCGCTGTTGAAGGCAGAAACAAGACACTTTATTGTTTTGCGGTTGGAAGGTGAGTGCGACTCTAGTAACAAACAGACATGATCTCTCCTTGCAGTTCTGAAAAATAATTTTTCTTACTTAGCAGGACACATCTCTGTCTTGACCAGGCATTTCAAAGTATTATATGTTTCACACATGGTGGCAGTTTTCAAAGTTCATGTCATATTGTCCAGAGATTTTTTTAGATAATGATAAAAAAGGACATAGAGATCTGTATGAGGTATGATTTTTGACTTGTTTAAAGCAAACATAATCTGGAAACAAGATCTTCAAGACAGAAAACTAGTTGCTCAATTTGGAACTCATACATGGGGTGCTTTCTGTTACTCCGGGCTGACTGGTCAGAGACCCATAGGACAAGCCAAGGAAAATAATTGTGCACGCTCCAGTGGTCTGGATTTTCCCATGCGGACCCCAAATATGGACCATATTGGGAAATTCAGTGTTGGGCCATGCTCATTACTAAGGACACAGTTTTTCCCAACACGGACATCCTGGCCAGCAAATAACATATATTTCTTGATTACTTGCAGGCCTCCACCGACTATAACCTGGAAGAAAAATGGGCAAACTATTGTCACAGGAGATGACTTTGAGATCGCTGGTACCTTTCTAGGAAGACGTCTTGATCTTATCAATGTGAAAAAGGACATACATGAAGATACATACACTTGTGAGGCTGAAAATTCTCAAAACAGTGGAAACCCAAACGTTTTTACAACAATAGTAACAGTGAAAGGTATGTGAAGTTTTAATATTTATAGCTGTTATGTTTTAGTATACATTATCATGGGATAGAGTGTTTGCATTACACGTAAATTAATAATCTTTTTCTCTGCTACAGTTACATACATGGCGAAAAAAGACATGCAAGTGTAATTTATGTCTGCCAGATCAAGAGCATGACAGTGTTCTTTGCAGTTCTGTTGATATATAAAGAAAGAACTCTTCAAGTGATTATTTATGTTTTGTTTCGAAATAAAGTACTTGCGTGAATGTGATATAAATAAAATCCCAGGGAATGAGAAATGAGGAATTTGATATCAAGTCTTGTTTGATTAAGCAGTAGTTTAATGCAGTGTACAGGAGTGTGGCAACCATCTATGCACATAGGCACAAGCTTACCTCTGGAAATCCAAGAAATAATATATTTTCTCTGTAGTCATAAGCACAAATCTTTAGTAATTAAAATCGGCTGGTTTGACAGTCTCTAGTCTCTCCCATTAAACTTGTTATCAAATAATAATTTCAAAGCATGACATATAGACAACATCAAGTTACTAAATAATTGGCATTTTTTTTTCCTTGTGCTTTAATTTATGAAAGTATTCCTTAGGTACAGGGTAGTGGGCCTACCCCCATACTCCCTAGCGTGATTTTCATTTACAGCTTCAACCAGCTTCAACTTCAACTTCACTTTATTTTGCACTTACAGTTTTGAAATTACAATATTAGCATAAAAAAAGAAAAAGCATACATATATAACAGTTAAAGGTGCAATGCTCTATAGTTTGTGCATGGAGGCTAATAGAACCACGAGGTTATCAAGTTAGCCTCCATCTTGTTTGAGTGAACATAAAAAAACATGGGAGTAGAAGGACAAATGTTCATGATTAAATTATGTGAAACATCACAGGTGAAGAGATGCAAATTTTGTAGCACAAGTAGAAACGATTTTCAATTAACTAAGCACACATGGTTGTGCATATTTGTAATGCTGTTAAATGCAATTCAACAAAGTTAACAACAAAGATTAGCTGGTACTTCTGGTCAGCAGTATTTGTATGGTATTATAGGCTCAGTGCACTTTGCCATTGTATTAGCGTGTTTTAGCGTGGCAGTCCCTGCAACATTTTGTCAACATCTTTCTCCCCCTTCCCCTCCATTGCCAGCCATGGGAAAATGAGACTGTCTAGGGGCCGGCTGGTCACAGTGGAGGCCCATAGATATCCCAGGCACCTATCTTCCATACAGCATGATGCAGTTGCTAAAGAAATTTAATGAAACAATACATGTAAATCGCGTCAAGTGGGAATTAAGGACATTCATGCTAATTGTTTTTGTGCGTCCTTACTACGCACGCAAATTCACATTCCACATCATGCATGAGAGCGCGCGTGCGATGGCCATTGCTATAGCTTTGCCTGGATTTAACAATCTGGGAGGTTCGGTGACTCCTACTTTTCTTTCCAGAAACAGATTTTGTTTACAATTATCTCCACATTGTCCAAAAATGAACAAAAAAACAGTGTGGGAAGTTAAAAAAAATTCAAGATTTCTGTCCACGAGAAATTGAATCCTGCCATCTTGCAGCTGCAAGGCGTGTGAAACTATGGTCACTAAATGCAAACTTGTTCTTTAAGGAACCTCACCAGTTGAATAAATTCACTTAATAGGTCCTCTTAAACAATATTTGGTAGAGAACATTTCACTTCAAAGATCTAATTGCAATATTTTTGGGCTTACAGACACTGTGGCCTTATTTGCTAACAAAGCACAATTTTTTTCAGATGTAGGGTGTTCTTCCAGGCATGTCCTCTCGAAAATGAAGTCAGTGACCAACCATTTTTTTTACATTTCTGACATAACTGACTCATCATCTTTCAGTGGTAAAAGTCTCAGAAAAAAATCAATGTTGGAAAATTTTTGCGTGAATGTCCTTAAGTTGAGGGACGTCCTCATTTTACAAGACAATCATGTATTGGAACATTTGCTTCCATAGTTCCTCCAAAATGGAAGGACTCAAAGCCTCCTCCAGAAAAGCAAGAGATTGACATCCAGGGAAATGGTACATTACTTTGTGATGCAGTTGGAGATCCTGCACCAGCATTCACGTGGTTCAAAGATGGCGCCAGGATTGTTTCCTCCACGTAAGATTTGAGTATACACCTATATACCACATTCCATGTGTCAATGTGCAGTTCCAGAAAATATTCATACCCACGCTAGGGAAGCTCACTGGAATCTCCATTGAACTATAAAAGTATGAGGTAAAACTGTTTTTTTAAGACCTTAAAGTGGTACTATAACGAAAATCCCATCTTTCCTTTCTAAGCCATTTTAAAACATAAACAAGTAGTCTGCATGAGAAGAAAAACACTGTTTACTATTTTCAAATATCTCTTTTCGTTCCAGAGATATTCAAGTTTTTAAAATATGCAGATTAGCTAAGTGATGACGTCATACACTCAACCGAATTTTCATCAAATATAATGAAGAAAGATATCTCAGCCAATTTGTATCAGAAATGTTTGATTCTTTCCAGTAACATTCTACTAAATGTGCTCCACAGTATGAGCTTGACAGATTTGTTACCATTGCAACATACTGGGTTCCAGACCTCTCCAATATCAATGGCTTTTCTGGCCACCTTTGGCATTCCATCTTGATATTTGCTAATAGTGCCACATGTGCATGATCCAGCAAGCATATGAATATGTTGGGTCAAGTTCATGGCCTTTTTAAATATTTTTTGAGCTGAAAATCACTAAAATATTGAAATCAAGTGGGTGGGACTGGAAAAAATGAGTTGCCATGGGAACAGAATTTTTATTGCCGTAGGTGTGTTATCTGTAGAGCTATTAGCCTAACAAGTTTCAGTGGTCTGTGCTGAAAATTGACCAAGATAGCTCTATTTATATACTTGATATAATATTGGGTTGAGTATATGATGTCATCAGTTATCTCATTTGCATATTTTACACATTTTTCAAACTCAAATATCTCCAGAACGAATGCAGATATTTGCAAATGGTAAACAGTGTTTTTATTCTTTCATGCCATTCTATGTGATACACCAAAAAAATCAAGAGGTAAACATTTGATCATAGTACCACTTTAAAGTCAGAGGAAAGATCTGGTTGGTATAAAGTAGTCATGGTCTCTTACCGCCACAAGAGCAGGTGCTTATAGCGCTTTCAATTACAGCATTTGAGTGACATCACAAATGCATGTAAATGTGATTTAGCAGAGTTAACAACAAGGAGTGCAAGTCTTGCCTTTGCGGTCAGCGACGTTTAGATCTACGCATGCACCAGGATTCCATGTGTTCTTGGGCCACAAGGCATTCAAGTAGTTTTGCAATGAGTCAATGTTTCCCATGAGCGCGAAGTTTCAAGCATGGGGACTCTTCTCAGAGGTTGTTTCCCCTCTCCTGTCCCTTCTGAGCAGGCTGCCAATAGTGGAAGCTCCTGGATGTCTTAAGCACTGAACCTCTACTTTGCAAGGCAGTTGTTAAAGAGGGTTTTACAGTAATGATTGAAAATTGAGTTAGTTGTTTCAGACGTGAGAGCTTTGCAGGGTTTTCCCAACAATTTTTCCTTTGGGAGTCCCTTGG